ATTCGGCGAGAAACGGAACACCAGTTCCGGTAAGCATTTATTTATTCCTGTTATGCTAATAATTATATCTGGTTTCACTGAGGACAGCGAAGGACAGTTATTTGCGAGAACCATACTCCATATGTAACTGCATTTTCAGCTTACTGATGAGCTGAAACAACGGACATTACGTCACATTAGGCCCGGAATTACTGGAGTGCGTTCAAAGACGTCAATGCTAATGCCAAAACCTACTTTTCCCTTTCTACCGGCAATGCCAAATCTGGTGTGAATTTGCTGGAACGCTAAATACCGTTTCTCAATTAGGCAATCCAAACCACGTGACATTCAAGATGGCGTGGCGTCCACACATGTACGAAAACACACAAAAAAATATCTAGTTTCTGCCCAACTCAATAGTTTACGTACCTACAAATATTTTATTGAATAATGAATAATCAAAATCAAAGCTGCAAGCAAAACTCGAAGCAAAATAATTGAAATATGCATGAAAACACATATTCGAAACTAACTTGCTGGCCGCCACGCCATATTGAATTTGGTCTCATCTAATCAAAATTCGTATAACCATTTCTAGACTCAGTTAAAAGCACCTCCAAAAGTTACTTTACCGCGGCCGATTCTGAACGTGTAAAGCCAACCGTTTTTGGCACGATGGAGCCGAACTTGAACGCAATATGCCAATTTTGGCTTGGCTTTAGCCGTTTTTGAACGCAGCCCAGAAACTGTGCAACACCAATACGCCCAAACACTTTTTCTCAATAAATATGACGTAATTGCAGAATTTTTCTGTAAATTGCTCGTTCCTGCAAATAGAGCACATATGCAAGTCGGCCATATTTGCAGACCTGCAAATTTGCAGATGCAAATATACTGTAATTGGGCCACGGTCTGTTATACAAAAGTACCTGACCAAAGCCTCACCCAAAAGTTGATTTGTTTTCCGTTTGTCTTTTATATAATGGTCTGTTCTCACAAGAGTCTGTGCAAACTGTCAAAAACTACTCAACTAAGTTACCGATTTTTCTTGGAACGACGTCATTTAAAACATGTAAGGGCGATGTTTTCTGAGAGTTTGCAAACTGTCAGAGACACTTGTGACAACAGACCTATAAACGCGGAACGGAAAACTCTAAACGGAATACGCCTAAAAATCTTATGTTCCAATTGAAGGTGTTTTATTCTCTCGTCTCAAATGGTTTTTTTTATTTAATGCAAATTACTTTGCATTGTCTTGACTCCCTGATAGTTATTTAGCGATAATAATTACAATTATTATAGCACATAACCCCATTCTCAAATGTCAAAGTGAAAAGAACGCATGCGTCAATTTTGAAACGTGGATTGGATTGTATTTCGAAACGGTTTGAACCATTTTTGATGTGACGTCATGGGTTCCTCGCGAGAACGTTTCAAACCTGATTTGAACTAGTTTCAAAAAAGTGAACGCGAGAAAATAGCTTTGATCACAAAGGACCTCGCACACTTTATATGGGATTTCGGCGATCGCTCTTTGAGATATGAGCACAGCTTATATGAGCGTTGAAAGATGAACTTTTTTGCGACTTTTTGTAAAGAGAGTATACGAAATACTGGTGTTTATCAGTCAAAATATTGACAGGTTCACATATTTTACGTCACTAATAAATTATTGTCAACATAGGCTAAGGCCGGGACCGCACTAGGGCCAATGTTGGCGCCAGTGCGGTCCCGGCCTTAGCCTATGTTGACATTTGTAAGTGACGTAAAATATGTAAATCTATCAATATTCTGACTGATAAACACCAGTAGCACCAGTATTTCGTATACTCTCCACACAAAAAGTCGTAAAAAAGTTCATCTTTCATCATCGTTCATATCTCAAAGACCGTTATACCTACCCTACAAGATTTTGTCCCATTTAAAAATTGTTAAGAATTAAATCCTCCACAACATATCAAAATTTGGAAAAAGTCGACCGATCCCCGAAATCCCATAAAGGTGTGCGAGGTCTTTTGCGAATGTAGATACTTTGTCTTTTTTCAAACAAGTTCTTTGAAGAAAGATAAAAAACAAGCAGATGGAGATCGGAATGGATCAGCGGTTCTGGGAAGGGAAGGCCTCATGATTCTCAATCTGTCAAAGTTGTCAACTTTAAAAACTGAGAATGTGGAAGAAACGTTATTAGGAAAATTGATTCCGTGATCCAATTTGAAAGAAATAAAACCTATAAACAACATAATGACCAAGCCATAAATATGTTATAAAGAATCAACAAAAACCACAAAATCTACTTTAATATTTTTCAAAGACAAAAAGTATACTTGGCAACATAGCATTTACTTGTGAAATGAAGCAAATAATTATGCCAAGATACGTTTCGGCTTCTCTCTCTTTTTACTGTGCGGGATAATAAAGGCAAGACAGCTGAAATCTGTCTAGACCGATCACTGGGTTTCACTTTTTAAAAAGTCAAATATTCAAATATTGTGTCATAACCTAATTTTTTTGTTTATATTTATGTAAGTAAAATATTATAATAAATTATTGTTTTCTGCCCCTTTTCTTTTAAAAAACAAAAGTAAAATGCCTCATTTTTACACCAGAATAAGTTTCATAACCGGGATAGTTATCGGCGTTGTTCTAGCAGTGTATATCAAAAAATATTCAGTGATACAAAACTATAATAAAACCAATCAGAAAAGTGCCTTATACAAAAATTGGTTCAACAAACACAAACTGTCTAGAAAAAAACTTTCATGGGACCAGTTACGTTATTCAAATACATCATATTATAGTGAAGCCAAGTACTTATTCAATAAGATTAAAGTTTTATGTGTCATCCTTGTGAAAAGTCAGAAGAACCTTTTTGCAGCACAGGATACTTGGGCCAAAGGATGTAACAGCATCAGCCCAGTGATATTAGAATCACAAAATAAAATTATGCCTGCAAAACGAACCAAAGAAAACTCATCGTGGATAATGCTATGCAAATTACTGAACAAAATCAATGCTAAAGAATTTGATTGGATACTTGTAGTCAAAGACACGAGCTTTGTAATAACAGAAAACTTTAGATATCATGTGGCTCCACTGAATGCTAGGAAAAAGCATTATTTAGGTCATGCTGTTAAGTTTTGGAGTACTATCTATAATAGTGGCGAACCTGGGTATGCTTTGAGCAAGGGTACACTTGTACGATTCCAAAAACACATGAATGATGATAAATGTTTGGAAAATAGTTATTGGAATAGGGAGGATTTTTATTTAGGTAGGCACATAAAAAGTTTGCAAATTTATTTGAAATTTAAGAAAAAAGTTCAATTACAATCTTTATATTCCACCTTAATAATTGGCAGGTGTAAGCAGGTGGGCTTATATGTCAAAATTTGCTAAGGGTAAAAGAAATTCTATTTGGCTAAAGGATTCAATCACATTTTTTTGAGTTTTACTTCCTGAGCTAGTAGACAAGAAATGCTATAAGATTCTCTTTGGCTTATTGAAAAAGAGATGCTCCACTTTTAGAAGTATTTTTAGTTTTCAAACTCCGAGCTGTCAAAGATAAAAGTTATAACTAAAAGGAGCTTAATTTAAGCATCTTATGGTAAGTTTTTCACTCCTGAAGCCAGTTAAAGGGATGGCTAGCTAATAAGCAGTTTAGCATGTTCAAAGAAAACACTAAGTACCAAAATATTTTTTAATAATACTAGTCTGGTCTGGGTTGTCCTTAAGGATATTTTGTGGCCTGTCAGAGAAGGCTTTGGTTGTCCTTGCTGGGGCCTGAAATTTCTGAATGAGTCTTTCCTGATAGCTTTGAAGATTTCACTTATAGTTCCTATATCTTCAAGGGTGGAGATCATCATTTTTGTTATTGTCCCAGCATCCAATCTTATCAAAGTTGATGAAGAAAATACTTGTTAAAAGCCCAATGATCTTTTTAAATTGTTCTATTTTCAATCCTTTCAGGAAAATACCTGGCGCAAGTTAATATAACTCCATCAAACACACACGATGAGGAAGATTTATCAACATTTCATCCATACCACTGGTACCATGTATTTTATCCCAGTGAAAATTACTATCAAAACAGTATTTTTCCTGTTAAATGTTGTAGCAAAAGATCTATTGCATTTCAAGTAAGTAACTGTTAAACCAAACCCTTAAATTTTATTGTTTTGAATGCAAACTCCCCATAGGCAATTGAAGGCGATAGAATGTACACTTACAATTACTTATTTTACACTCTTCAAATTTTCAATGGTGGGATGAATGGTAATCGACAATATTTAGATACCGCGCCAGAAGATAAGGTAAACGAAATTATAACAAGATTTAATTCTTTTTGACGGCCTTGTTTATTTTAGACCTGGAAACAATTTCTCAGAGAACAAAATTTCAAATATGACAACATAAGCAGTGAGGAATACTACAAATTGTGGGAAAATCTTATCAATGATCCTACATCTTTTGCGCAGAATTTAAAAAAAGAACATCTCTCTGACTACGTTTAGGCTTGGATATTTTATTACATTTTTGTTGTGTAATATTTAATGTTTCAATGTTTCTGTGATAGTTTTATGCCGTCCTAAGTATCTATTTGTGTTTTTTATATATTTTTTGAATGATGATTAACAAATTAACAAGCCTGTATTATTGTTAATTAGTAATTCTTTTGCCATCGTGTTGTTCAGGATAGCAGTTTTAACACATTATATTTATTTTTTCAAAAGTTTACATATGGGAAAATCTAGATTTATTAGTGAAAACTCTTGGAGGTATGTGTATAATGATTTGTTTCATTCATGAACTAGCAATTATAAGTAAGTAATAAATTATTTTCTTAAACATAAAATTTTTGTATTAATTGACATTAATTTGAAGTTTATTTATAATACAATGGAAATGCCATTTTTAACATCCTGTATCTATTTCTTCCCACTAACTTCACATTATGCAACAGTGACGTGTTTTTACAGCGTAATAATCTAATTCCTTCTTAGAGCAAAGTGGATTAAAACTTTGTCTAGTCCTTTATATGGCTTCTTGTTCATTTTCCACTATCAATTCCTATACAGTACCTATAATAATATGTAGATAAATGTTTAAAATATTAGTATTAGTTTATCATTTTATAATTTTTTTACACTTTTCTGTAGCCTTTTTGAAAGACTACAAATCCATAGACATTTGCAACCTTCACAATGCCAGGAAGTTATATGTTGAGTATGGGACTTCTGGAGGTTTGTTGGCCAACTACAAAAATCAAGTGCAGGATAAATCAAGGTTTCTTGAACAAAATGTTTCACAGAAAAAATGCAGCATTGAATTGATCACATGTCCCTCTTGTGTTATTCATATTTCATTTCAGTAAGTAATATTTATTTTAGTTTGATGATTTTGTAAAAATTTGAATGTTCTTGTCAAAAAGTTTTTTAATATCAACTCCCAAGTCGGTTCACATCTATATTAAATAACTGCTTGCTCCTTTTCCTCTTCTGTAATTTGATACTGGGCTTCTATTGTCAATAGGTATAGGTTGGTATACAAAAATTTAGGATGTGTCCTTTGATTCTCAATTGGTTACTGCATCAATTAAAAACTATCTTCTTTTCAGGTACCTAAACATCTCAAGAACCTGTGGAAAATCATCAACATTCAGTCAATGTGGATGTGATTATATTTTACTACACGAGCCACCCTTTGAAAGTGCTTCTGGAGAACAGTTTTGTGGTAGATATATGCAAAATAATTTTAGCGAACTGTCCTACCATTCACGTACCAGACTCACCTCTTTGGATTTTGTTTATACACACGATTACGGGCATGCTTTTACATTACAATTTTCCGCCAAAAGTAAGTACTATGTGCCTACTTTAAGGAGACAAACAAAGCTTTATTTGGATGTGCCTCAGTGGCCTGATAACCAATACCTAATGCCAAAAATTGCCTGGCCACAAGTCAAATGAGGTATGTATTCTTTTTAGGAAATCAATTAACCTTCAACGGATACCCAACAAATACTCACCTAAACAATGATAGTCAAATTATAACATCACCATTTTTCCCTAATCCATATCCTCCAGATTTGAGTGCAGAATACGTCATACAGTGCCATTCAAGAGAATCTTGTAGGATACGTTTGATTTTCACGGACTTTCTAATGGCTGACTCGTCTATTTTAGAGGCAAGACCAATAGTAAGTTTTTGTAAGTATTCGTTCAATTTTGCTTGGTTTTTCAGTTCTTCGATTATAACGGACAAAGAATGTACGTTATTTCTGGCAACATTTTTCGTCCTCCAGTCATAGTGTCTTCTGGTCCGAGTTTAATAATGCGGTTCTATGCTAATGGAGCCTCTAGTATGGGTTTCAAAGCAATTTATTCCTTTAGTACAGGCAATGTTGACGATATTGCTCTTAAACCAAATATAGGTGTGTGGTCTTAGGAAATTAATTTTAAATTTATTTGAAATATAATTTTCAGATTGTGGCGGCCAAGTTAACAATTTAGGTGGAGGCATTACCATGATGGATATGGTCACTGACGGAACTAAATATTATGATTGTGTGTGGATTGTTAAAATGGCTACTAACTTTTTACATAGAAAAACTCATTTGTATGTTAAAGTGGTAAACTTCACTGATTTTGGCAAGTCTATTGTTGCTATAATATGAATGAATATGAAAATGTGGCAGATTAAATTTAACCAACTATTCTTAAAACATCCAAATCTAGGCATGAAAAATTTCAATGTTTCCTTTTTTTTCAGCTGGAACCACAGAGTTAATTCTTCGCCAAGGTGTGACTTCGAGTGAACCCACAGTTGAAGTTTTAAAATTTCCGATAAGCCAATTTCGCAGTTCCAAAGAGAAGGAACATATCGTCCCTATCGAGGAAGGATTTTATATTAGCCTAAGAGGGCTTTTTAAACCAGAGTCTAAAGTGTCCATTGTTTATGCTGCTTTTAATTATAAAGGTAACAATTTCAAATTTCCAATTATCTTGTATGCATAATTTTTGTTTATTCTAGATTGTTTTTCTGGCCTAGACTTTTTATGTCGCAACTTGCGATGTATCTCAGCTTTGTTGAATTGTGATGGTTTTGACCATTGCGGTGATACTAGTGATGAATCGTCAGAATGTTCTGAAGGTACTTTGTTCAGTAAATGAAAATTAAATAACTGGTATTTTGTATTGTTTATTTCAGATCCTACAGCTCATAGAGATTTTTCCAAGATTCCAAATTTTCTATTTCCCAAAATCGAACCCTACGCCGATCTGACCACCGCTACGTTTGTTTTTCTTCTGTGTACTTTTGGTAAGAATTTATTTTTTCCGCCATTCAAAATTCGGCTAGTAGTTGGAGCCGGATTCAAACTTATATTCCTTCTCAAATTAATGATTGTTCTGTTTAAAATCAAATTGTTATTAAATCTAATTCTTTTTCTAAAAGTGGTTTTGTGGCACTGACGTCACGCTTCCATATAAGTTTGATTTTTGCTCTGCGGGTGTCAATTTACCCGCCTTGGCCTTCTAGAATTTGGCAATGCTTTTAGTCATAAAAGTCCTTATTTTATTTTAGTTTAGTTATTTTAAGATTTGTTGAAAATTTAACTCGTAAAAATATTCGGGTTTTATTTGGCCGAAATGACTTTCACCGCTATAAATAAAAATGCATCGGTTGCTACAGGAGTTTTTATAGGTTATGGCCTTGTGGTCATAGGGGAATCCATAGTTTAGGATCATCGATTTGATGCTGTGACCTAAACAAATATTATCACAGATGAAAGTAAATATCTTGTATTGAAAAATATAATCATCTAATAGTTCATCTAATTCTGTTTTGGCTTATTTTAATGACACATTAAAAACAAGAAACTTGAGTAGGTAACAAAAATTAAATATTTTCTCTGGGCAAATTGCGCAGTATTCCGCTCGATGATTATTTTTTTAGTAGTACTAATAATACTTTATTGCCGTAAGCGTTCCAAAAGAATATCGACAACGTTAAACAGAGGATTAAACCTTTAACATGTGCTGTCGCCGTATGCATATAAAATAAAACTATGAATGTAAATGCAAAAATAGAACAAATCGCATAAAAAATATGCGCGTGTCAATAGCTGCCCAAATTCATGGAATAAAACTCAAAGCTCTGGAGATATTACGTTGCATCAGATTATATTTTCAATTTTGACCCAAAATATTCATCCTCCAGCACTTTAATTTATTTAATTAATTACTTGCCAATTTTACTTAAGAAGGGTAGTATAATCGAATTGTTTTTATTAGCTTATCTTAAAAAATAAATGATAAGAAATCAACAATTCAATATCAGGCCAACGAACTATGTGGTGGAGCTCCATTTTTCTCCACAATTACTGTTGTATTGGCTCATCACTGACTCGATTATATTTTCATTGATTAGATTGAAATATTTTTGAGACATTATGGAGCCATCATCAAATGAAGGTCTGATTTCATTACGTAACATGATTCCTATCCACACATTAAAAGATTCTCTGCCTTGTTGATCTTGTCTTGAATTTTGGTCAGTTTATTTCCTATCCATGAACAAAATTCTTGGACCAGCTATGTTTATTGCTTTTGTTCGAAGGGTAACGTTGTCACTCAGGACCTTGTCACTAGACACTATGTCTTTATATCCTAGTGCTAACACAGCAAAATCGGTGAAGAATCTTGTCTAAGCTTTTGATGTGAGTTCCAGATATCCCATTATGAACTTCTTTTGCACTCTGCATCAAGTTCGTTGTAGTGAACCATTTTTTTTTGTGCCAGGTTGATTTATCGAATTCATTTAGGTTCAAACCTGAACGTAATTATTCATCCGTTTCAAATCGAAGGCTTTCAACAGAAACTTTTTCACGTTGATCAATTCTGATGCAATGCTTGCATTGAGCTGGGCATGATTGCCTGGACACTAGCAACTTCTCCAGCCATCTTGCTAACTGTCCTGGTCGTTTCATGTTTAAAAGCCAATTAAGCGATGCATGGTCTCTTCTAATGAGAAATTCAATGGAAATGGTCAACTGCTCTGACTATTGTTAACAGTTTCTTACTTGTAAATTTTCCATTTACCCATTTTTTTTTTTGGTGGGGAAGTCGTCTGATTGAACTCCAAGTAGCGCTGCAGCCGGAAGCTGAATCTTCCTGTTAACTGCACCCATTCCAAACTCCTGGTTCCCTGCAGTAGGTGAAGTAGGTCTGTTGGATGTTTGCCGTATGTGTCTGGATCTAGTTAATCTTTTCCAAATATATTTTGTCTTCTGCGAGTTAGTGCATCGCATTCTGATATAATATGTTGAGCTGTTTCAGTTTCTGTTCCGCATAGTCTGCAGCTCGTGTCTCAGTTGTACAAGCCCATTGTTTGCAGGTGCTTCTTCACGGGGGCATGCCCAGTAAGAAAGCTGGTTGCTTCTCCGAGCTGATTCCTGCTTAGTTGTAGCACTCTTTTTGCTCTTTTGCTGCATGTCTAACGTATGAAGATTTTCCCATGTGCGTGCTTGGGAATTTGCTTCCAGTATTGAGCATGTTTTGCTTTGATCCATTCCTTCAGCTTCTTTCTTACTGTGCTTTTGGGCACTCCGAGAGCTGGTTTGGGACCAAGGTATTCTGTGGATGACCCCCTGCATGCAAGTTCATCAGCCTTTTTGTTGCCCGGGATACCTCTATGTCCTGGCACCCACATCAATGTGACGTTATTTTGGTTGTTGAGCTCTTCTTGGCAATCTATTACCAGTGCAAAGTTTGCCTTAGGGTTCTTCAATGCCCCCAGTGCTGCCTGACTAAAGTAAAATGAGTCTCCTGTCTTTGCAGAGTCTCATATTGTTGATTCTTGCGAATTGTTGTATTGCATATACCTCTGCTTGGAATACAGATGTATGTGCAAATAGAAAGAAGAAGGTCTCGCATCTTCCTTCTTGACTGTAGATTCCTGCGCCTGTGCCATTCTCAGTCTTTGACCCGTCCGAGTACCAGTACCAGGTCTGGCCTTTGAGATGGGAATATGCATGTTGCTTCTCCCATTCCTTCTTTTCACTAATTAGGACTTGAAGTGATCATGTCAAATACTGTCAGATTTATGACTTCCCTTTTTTGTGTGTGGCCTGATCTGACTGTTAGTTTGCTCAGGTTGTTTCGTTGTCTGTAGAGGCCCATCCTGGCTTCTGCCTAAATCCCAATGTGTAGCGGAAGTAGGTCTAGTAGGACTTCCATAGCTGCTGTTGGTGTGCTTTTCATACACCCTGTAATGCACAGACAGGTAGTGATGTAAAATGCTCGAGCAAGTATTTTAGGAGAACGTTCTCCAAGCAGGATCGAGAATTAACGAGAATAAACGAGCAAAAACGAGCAGGACCCGAGAATTTATGCTTTTTGTCAGACGCTGAATAAAACAAAACATTTTTCTAAATAAATTCTGATTTTTCTCAAATTTCCCAAAATTCCTAAATTTCTCGTGGAATTCTTCATAAATGTGCTGAAAATTCTCCAACTTCTTGGGAAAATATAATACATATATCCTATTCACAATCTGTAGTCCAAAGGTACAGGTAAATTTATCACCTTTCCCTATCAAATAGCATTGAATGGTGATAAATTTTACATGTACCTTTGGACTACAGATTGTGAATAGATAATAATTAATCTCATATTTTGTGAATTGTGTCTTGTGTCATGTTTGACAACAATAATTATTCTAATTTGGGTTTTTTTTCCAGTAGAACGCTACCTTTGCTTACAAAAAAAATAACTATTGCTGCTAAGTTGCTTCCTGGTTCTCGGGCTCAATATTTGATATATCTCCGCCTTCAACAGCTTCCATAAATATATCTCTACTCTATGGCGTCATGTGATTTTATTGGTTAGGATCGTGCTTGAGGACGTGCTAAATATTCTCTATCGTGCTCAATGTGCTCCGAAGGTAATATTCAGCACGAACCTTTTTTTCGTGCGCGAACGTTCGCGAATGTTCTCGAAAGCACAATCAGAACGTTCCCTTGTTCACATCACTACAGACAGGCAAATGTTTGCACCCTGCCAAGTCCCTTTCTGGCTCTGTCTTGTGTCTTTGTTCACCATATCAAAGACGCATAGGTTATTTCTGGCTTTACAACCGTTGCGTATAGCCAGTGCATCAAGTACAGCCGCAGACCCCAGGTTTTTCTGAAAGTTCTCCTGGCTAGTATAAGTACCAGTTCTGACCTTTTAATTACTTTGTCCAGATGTTTGTACAAAGTTAATTTTGACCTAGAGACCATTGTTAGAGCCTGCTGCATGCGATTTCTAATTGCATGGTTGAATTTTTCCTGAGATTTTATGACCAAGTCATCTGGATGTCCCACTAATTGATGGTTGTTGCTCTTCAGTAGCTCTATCAGCTCGTCCATCACCAGATTCTACAGCAAGGGTGATAACACTCCGGCTTGCGGACATCCCTTTGCAACCCAAGCTGTTACTGTTTTACTTAGGAGCGTGGAGTGGATGACTCTACCTCGAAGCAGTGGCGGCTGGTGAGAGGAAAAGTTGGCGGTGCACACACTCAGGGGGGAACACCCAGAGGCGCTCAAATTTTTTTGGACTGACAAACTAACCCAAATTTTGATCTAAAAGTTGTAAAAAAACACGCCTCAGAAAGTTTTTTCACTTATTCTCAATTCAAACGTGGGCCTTTACCATTTCTACAAAATAATAAATGAAGCACGGGCGGAGTACGAGAAATTTATTAAAACAGTTTTATACAAAATAAAACATAAGGCACCATACAAATCAAATACGAATCAAATTTATAAAAAATATCTACTGCACTGTCTTTCCAGACGAAACTGATTTCTTTGCGGCAGGCGCTTCAAAGAAATATGCCGCCCTATGGCGCCAGGGACGCAGCTAATAAATCTAACCAATAAGATATTCCTGGAGTCAACGTTGACTGTATCGATAGTCAAAACAGATGAGACAGTAAAAAAAATTAAATTTCTTCCAGTAAATTGATCCAGATTTATCCAGACCTTATCCAGACTTGTACAGACTGATCCGGATTCTGGAAAATAATCCCCAGGTCTTTTGGGATCTTTTCCAGAATTTTTCCGACCCCCTCAAGAAATTTCCATGCCTTTTCCAGACGTTTCCAGAGATTTCCAGACATTATCCAGACTTATCCAAAGCTTTCCAGAATTTTCCAGACTTCATCCAGATTAATCCATACCTTATCCAGACTTGTTCAGACTGATCCGGATTCTGGAATATGATCTCCAGGTCTTTTGGGACCTTTTTCAGAATTTTTCCAACCCTTTCCAGAAA